ATAGATACAAATAAGCAGCGTATATGGTGTGTGAGAAGTTGGTAAATGTTGAGACCCATAAAGAAGGGGAGAAAGCTGGTGATGTCTGTTAAGGGGAAGGAAACTTGCAAGTTAACTAACGGAGGGTGGTCTGAACGGCCTCAGGGAGAAGACAACATTTGTGAAAAGACCTCGAGAATGTGAGGCTGCATGTTTGTTTCTAGCTATTTCCAGTTGCCTGGGTACGGATGGATATTTAGGAAGAGAATTCTCCAGATATGGAAAGCAACAAGTAGAGAAGATCTGAAGCAAGGCTATGCCTGGAACGTTCTAGAACGATAAGGAAGGCAGCGTGGCTACAGCCAAGGAAGTGAGAGGAGAAGGAGAAGAAATAGGTCAGACCTATTCTTTAAAAAATAGAGCATCTTGTAGGCGATGCCAGGATTTTGACTCTCATTAGAATCTATGTGGGTCTTCGGGAAACTGTGAGCAGACGAGTGACATGACCTGACTTATGGAGTTACTCTGGCTCCTGTGCAGAGAATAACGTGTAGGTGATGAGGCAGGACATAAAATATGAAGTGTCCGTGGAATGCTGATCAAGCCAGATCTCCACCAGAGATCAGGGAGAGGACTGCACACGAAAGGAGGCTTTGTTAGTGGCTCCTGAGTTCCAGAACTTTCTTTACTTTAGTCTTCTGGGTGCTGAATCCCTTGCCCTTTCAGATCACCAGAGCCTTTAACCTACCCTAAGCTTTTTCTCCTGAGAGCTGAATTCTGGCAAGTTTTCCCTCATCTGTAGAAGACATTTTTTACTTTACTGTTTTTTCTTTGAGTGGGGCCAGGGCACCCTGGATTAGCAAATTAAAATGTACTAACTGCGCATGATCTCTTCTAACAAGAACAGACGCTGTGCTACCAGAAAACAGTAAGTTTTAGAAAAATATCAAATTGCAAGTGAAGTGTGTGAAGATAACCTAATGCCAAGGTCGGGCCTTATTTAAAACTGTGAAACCGTAGAAGTTCCCCTGGTGCCCATGTGCCCTCTTTTTTATACTCACCCGTCCCCCATTTAGCCCCCGGCTGCTCAGGGTTCACACTCCAGGATCTCTCCCCGCTCCTCACTCCTTCGTAAATCCACATAGTACAGCCCATTCTTTACATCCTGTGCTCTGCAGGGTCCCTAAAAGTTAAGATGATTTTCTTACGAGCCATGGATAAGGGAGAATGACTCGGTGACCCACTCTCAGATAATGCCACTCATAGTCTAGTTAAAATGACCAGTCTATACCTGAGGAGGTGGGGTGCAGGTCGTTTTGGTTTAGAGAGCTTGCTGACTCCTTTAAACCCCCTAGGATGGGGATATCTACTCAGACCAAATGAATGGCCATCAGTGTCCCTGTGAATATGTGCAACCTGGAATATCATTTTTAAAATGTAGGATGTGTTATTATTCAGGCATGGGGAAGCCAACTGACTAGAGGATGTCTGTCCTTGAAAAGATAGATAGTTAAACTTATAGATCCCAGAGGACAGGGGGCAGGTCATCCTGTGGGGTCTACGTGGGGAAGCTGAGGGATTAGATAGGAGACAGAAGGGACCAGGAAAACACAGGCCATAGCCCTTACTGTGGTTTCCATAGGAAAAAACGGGGGAGGCAGAGTAAGCATGTTTAGGATTGGCTGGTCTGAATAACTTCAGCAAGTGCTGGGGTCTAGGGACTGTCTCAAGTTTCCTGGCACCTGGTCTGGTGTGATGAAGGCAGGTGGATGGTGCCCTGAAGGAGGTGTTTGGGATGTGGGCTCTGGGTTGGTCGCTTTGCACAGGAAAGCGGTGCTCTCAGGCCAGCGTTTCCTCCCTCTAGAACTGGCCAGCCGTGGGAGAGCTGGTCTCTCCAGGACCAGTAAGGCCC